TAATCACATATTTTCCATTACATCATATCACAAAATACATTTTCTTATCAATAATACACATCAAACACCCCAATATTTGGGGGTCGAGGTTAAAAATCTTGACTTAGCCCTTTATTTGAGCAACATTATTTTTTTCATTTTCATTCTTTTACTCATTTTCAACCACATATTTTTTAATAAAATAATATTTTCCTTCATATTAATAATTTTTCATTTTTTTCAACCACATATTCCTCGTCATGTCAAATAAAAAAAAAGCACTGTTGGACTCAAAATGTGGCTTTGTGGCTTACACACGGACGCTGGATTATCAGCGCGGGAATAATTCCTTCTACAACCCGCTGACCCGTCTAAAACCCCTTCCCGAAGGCTTCCCCTGCAATCCTTCCAAATTTCTATCGAAATGGCTCGAAACAAGGTAAATTATCAGTATCAAATAATTTCATTTTTACCGGGCATAATTGTGTAAGCTATTACATTATCATTCATTTTTTTACTATTTGACATTGGCTTTTTTTTTTCTTCTGAAATTTTCGCTACTTAACTGTTTATTCTCGGATTCATATGATAACTGCTAGCCTTGAGTTATTCTTTATGTTCGTTGTATTGGATGTGTGTTATTACGCTGTAATATTGAAATGGATGCAAAATAAGAAATACAGATGAAATCAGGGCTTTGAGCTGGGTTTTAGGTGATTAAATTTTAAAGTTGGTAATTAAAGTGAATTTATTTATGATTTAGCGTTTTTTCCCCTTCTAATAGTACATTTATACTCAACAGGAAGGTTTAGTTTTGGTGCTTGATGTTGGTCCAACAATGCACACTGTGCTGCCAGAAGTTGAAAAAGTTTGCTCAATGTTAGTGCAAAAGAAGGTATGTTATTATTTTTAATGTGGATTTCTTTTTGCCACCAACTTCCCTGTTAACAGTGGGTTTTGGCACTGTAATATTTATTCTAAACTTCTAATATCCCTTTTCACGTTTATGCAGATAATATTCAGCAAGAATGATGAAGTAGGACTTGTTGTATTTGGAACCAAAGGTATTTCCGAGTGTTTGAATTAGAGTGCAATGCTAAATGAGAAATTATATTATTTTGGGGGTATTAGTTTTAAGATTTTCTGGATAAGTCGTCAAATTTTTGCTTCTAAGAGAAGGTACTCTCATACTAGGAGATCACTTGAAACATGGTCACATTATCAAACATTTCAACTTAGAATCCTGAAAACTCTTAAAATTTTGTAACAGTTTGTCACTAAGAAGTAAGAATTAGAGTGGAACATGTATGCTTATGTATCAAGAGTTATTTATCTGTGGCAACTTTCTCATTTGACAGGTTTCTGCACCATAATGTGATTATGACAGTGTTTGGTGCTCTAGAAATTTATGTGCTTTTGGCATTTCAGAATTAAGACATTATTATTATTATTATTATTATTATTATTATTATTATCATCATCATCATCTTATATGCTTCTATTTGACAAGAAAGCTAACGAATATTCCATGATTGGGTTTTTCAGATACTAAGAATGAGTTGACAAATGAAGTGGGTGGATATGAACATGTGATGGTATTGCGGGATATAAAAGTTGTTGATGGAAACCTTGTTGAAGCTTTGCAGCAGCTTCCTCGTGGGTCTATACATGGTGACTGTATCCAACATGTACACATAATTATGGTGCCCGGATTTGGTCCTTAGATTTCAGTTTGAGTTTTCCCTCCGGAAATATGCATGAGCCCTCTCCCCCAAAGAATTTGTTATTTTGATTTCTTTCTTACATCAATATCTTTGTTTCTCTTATGGTCTAAACACACGTCTTAGGATTGGAATGTAATCGATCCTCTACTAATTGGAAATATGATCTCTCGTCTTTCCCCTTCCCCCTTCTTCTCCTGTCCTCTCTAGAACTCAACTTTTTAAGATATAGGCATTTGCATCTATAGCATGAAAGAGCTTTCAACTTTTATATGTTTTCCATATCATGAACCTTTGTGCCTTTAACTTTCTTGATAGTTATTGATGCTGTTGTTGTTGGGATGGATATGCTAATTAAGAAGTATGGGCAAACTAACAAGGGAAAGAAACGACTGTGTCTTTTAACAAATGCAGCTTCTCCTACCAAAGATCCATATGATGGAACGAAGGAGGATCAAGTCAACACCATTGCTGAACAGATGAGGGCACATGGCATGAAAATGGACTGTATAGTTGTTAGAATATCACAAGATTTGGATATGGATAAGAAAATTCTGGAAGAGAATGATTACCTGTTGAATGCATTTTCATATAAATCTTCTACGAAAACAGTTCACGTTGACAGTCCAACTTCATTATTAGGTGCGCTCAGAACTCGGAACATATTTCCAGTGACTATATACAGGGGTGATTTTGAGATGAGCTCCAAGATGAAGATCAAGGTGAGACTCCAGGAAATGGTGTCATATTAAGCTATATCATGGACTTAGCACTAAGAAGCTCATGTTTGATTTTTTGGTTGTTTGCATCACTCTCATTTTCTTTCTTTATGCAAATTTTTTATGATTCATTTTGTATCGACTTTTAATTAGTTTAACGAATTGATATTTAAATTCTTATAAAATGTACTGCTTGAAGATTATGCGATTTAGGGCTTTAGCTAACCGATAGGTTATAGGTACTTTCTGACTATTTCTTGTGTCTTGTGCATAAAAATTTCCTATGGGTTACGAAACCTATATGTGATCACTGATCAACAACAAAACCCTATTATAAACTTTCACTTCGTTCCAGACAATTTTATAATTTATATTTTTGCCTTTCAAGGTCTGCTGGATGGAGCAGTCTTTGTCTGCTAATTGTTTAGTATCTGCTTGGTGTATGCATTAAACTGTGATGCAATATTTATTGTTTAGATTTTGCTTGATGTATGCATTCAACTGTGATTCAATATTGAATTTTTTCTCTCACTTGTTTGATGTGCAGGACTTGTTAATATTTTATTGGCATCATTTTTCTTTTTCTTTTTATTAAATTTGGTTTGCTATTAGGTATGGGTCTACAAGAAAACATCTGAAGAAAAATTTCCCACCTTGAAAAAGTATTCTGACAAAGCACCTCCAACGGATAACTATGCCACTCATGAAATCAAGGTTGATTATGAATACAAAAGTGTTGAAGATCCTAATAAATCTGTTCCACCAGAACAAAGGATCAAAGGTTACCGCTATGGACCTCAAGTAGTTCCTATATCATCTGCGGAGTTGGAAACATTCAAGTTCAAACCCGAGAAAAGTGTGAAGCTTCTGGGTTTTACAGATGCTTCAAATATAATGCGGTAAAACCTAGCTGCATCTAGTTGCGTCCATACAATTTTTGTGTTAGTTAATTTTGATTGATTATCGAACACAATTTCATGGTCTGCTTTTTCCTCTCCATCCTTCATCTGCACAAAGGCACTATTATATGAGAGATGTCAACATTTTTATTGCTGAACCTGGCAACACAAGGGCCATTGTTGCAGTTTCAGCTTTAGCGAGGGCATTGAAGGAAATGAACAAAGTAGCTATTGTCCGTTGTGTATGGAGACAAGGACAGGGAAATGTTGTTGTAGGCATCCTAACTCCTAATGTATCTGACAAACATAACATTGTAAGTTATTACAAGCGAATTTGCAGCATTTCGTTTCTCCCTTTTAGCACGTGGATATATATTCACTTTGTCAAATTTGACATTCTTTTTATGTTGGGGCAGCCAGATTCATTTTACTTCAATGTTCTTCCGTTTGCGGAGGATATCAGGGAGTTTCAGTTTCCATCTTTCAGCAACTTGCCTTCATCAATGCAGCCAAATGAGCAACAGCAAGAGGCAGCGGATAAGCTGGTCCAGATGCTTGATCTTGCACCAACTGGGAAAGAGGTTTTGCGACCCGATCTCACACCTAATCCTGTTCTGGAGGTACTTATCAATGACATTTTCATATAGATAATGTTGCAAGTCACTAAATTGTTCATCTAAAATTGGTTTAGTTAAACAAAGTCTTAGTTGCCACTACTTTCTCATACTACATTTCTGGAAATTTTCCTTCATTTAAGCCACAATGCTTAGATTTATTGTCATAATTTATTTTTATTTTTTTCCCATAGAAGTTGTGGAAACATTAAACTGATTGTACTGCAATGCCACTTCTTGCAGCAAACACTTAAACTTGGTGGTGAATCCTGAAAGGTTACTGTTCTGGAAAAAAAAAAAGCCCCGTTAGCGATTTGAACAAGAATTTTATACCAATGATGTTTCTGATTTGTGCTTCACAGACTGCTTTCTTTAGTATTTGGTTTTTTTTTTTTCCATTACATAGAATAATTAGTGTACGGTTTACATTTCAGCGATTTTATAACTGCCTTGAAGTGAAATCTAAGCAACAAGATGCAGCTGTCCCTCCACTTGATGAAACCCTCAGGAAGATAACAGAGCCTGATCCTGAGCTCATTTCTCAAAATAAAGCTGTTATAGATGAATTTCATAGATGCTTTGAACTCAAAGAGAATCCGAAGGTTATTTTGGCCTCTCATCATAAAATTTTATATGCATCCAAATTCTACAGAAATACTGGTTTTTCTTACTCAGTTTATTCTGCAGCTGAAGAAGTCGTCTCGAAGATTATTAAAAGAGAAACCAACTGGATCAAGTGAGGAAGGAGTTGGCAACGGTGCTGATGCGCAAGCAATTGATGCCATTGAATACACATCCAGAGTCAAAGTTGAGAAAATAGGGGATTTGGATCCTGTACAAGATTTTGAAGCCATGATGTCTCGCAGAGATAGTACAGAATGGATTAGTAAAGCAATTCAAGATATGAAAAATAAGATTTTTGATATTGTGGAGAACTCTTTTGAAGGAGACACATACCGTAAAGCACTAGAATGTTTAGTAGCTCTCCGCAAGGGTTGCATTCTAGAGCAAGTAAGTTTTCTTTCTAGTGAATGGGGTTCTTTCTTCCATTCTCTGCCTTTGTCAAATTACATTGCATTGAGAGAAATGGGTGACTGTATTTTTTATCCTTGTGATTAAGCACATTTTCAACAATAAATTGGTTCTTATCTGAGAATTTGGTTAGCTATAAAAAACAAATTGCTTAAATTCTAGCAACTTTTCCCCAAATTGGCACGAGAAATGTAAAATGGTTAGCTATTAGAAACAAATCGCTGAAATTTCAAATGACATTTTTTCCAAATTGGCACGAGAAATATGTGTTCTGAACTTGTAGTGTACAAGTATGTTGTCTCTTTTTCCAGTCAGCTTTGAAACAGCTGTCAAATATTTGGACTTCTGCCTTTAACAGGAACCGAAACAGTTCAATGATTTCCTGCGCCATCTCGTCAAATTCTGCGAAGAGAAAGACCTCAACAGCTTCGGTGAATATCTTGCATCACATGAAATTACACTGATAAGCAAGAAAGAAGCACCTGACAGGTCTGTTCTTGTTACAAAATTTGTCATGCAATTCTTCATTCGATTCTACTTTTATTTTCACCTCATACTTCTAGCAAAATGCTTATTGTTGGTACTTATATCCTTGCTGTCGAAACAGCGAAATTTCTGAGGATGATGCCAAAAACTTTATTGTTAAAAGGGAGCCAAAAGCTGAGCAAGGATTGTAAGAATTGACCTGGTGGCCTCTAGTTTTGGCACAGGACGAGAAATGCACTCAAATGCTTTGATGATGTATTCTCTTCTCCAATCTTTGATATGTAAAAGTTTCAACAGAAATCACGTCAAACAATGGATTTGAAACTTTTCCGTTCTGAAAAGTTGCATAGTTTTTTCAAGCTTGCTTTTTCAAAGAGTCTCCGTTTTAATTCTTGGTGGGTGTAGACTTGCAGTACTATGTAAATTGTGTAATGCAGTTGTCTGGAAGAAATGCTTCATTTTTCACTTCTCATTGTGAGCGTTGGAACATTCTTATGGGTTGTTTCAATGTAAAAAACAACTGGAAGACTCATACGTAGAAGGTCCAGATAAAACAAGGGACAGAAGGGAAGCTCGAGCTTGTATATACTTTCAGCAAGCATATTTTTAGCTCCTGTTTGACACCTTTCAATGTAAAAAACAACTGGTAGACCCATATGTAGAAGGTCCAGCTCATACATGGGACAGAAGGGAAGCTCGAGCTTGTATATTCTTTCAGCAAGAGTAATTTTAGCTCCTGTCTGACCTCTATCTCAAAATTCATTTTCGACTACACATTTTATGTGGTTAACAGCTTTTATTAATTTTTTAATCGCACATTTCGTCAACTTTTATCAAAATTTACTGAAAATCTGGTTTTTAACAATACTAAAACGCATACTTAATATACATTGTATGTACAAGCCATAGTAGATCGATGTACATGTTATCCGTAGGGTGCATGTATTCTAAGATTTAAAAGCCAAAATGGCTCATTTAGAAATGTATAAGCCAGATATCATATGAGTTTTATGCAACAATAACTTTGATTTGTAGGCCTGAGTTAACTTTTTCCTTAAGATGATCATTGAGATCTATTAAGCAAGAGAGAGGCTACTTGTACCGGATCAGGGTGACAAACACCCTGACCGGCCCCTCACATCAGGGGGGCCCCACATTTTTTTTCAATTTTTTATACATGTGGTGGCCAACATCATGTGAGAGTGTGTCACTTTTTTGTCAAATTTTTTTTTATACGAGTAGCNTTTTTTATTTTCAATTTTTTATTCACGTGGGGTTGACAATCATGTGAGGGTTTGTCAACTTTTTTGTCAAATTTTTTTTGTACAATTAGCTTTTTTTCATTAAGCAATTGCACACCTAAGTCTACAAACCTTATCAATGTCATGTTTGGGGTTGGGGAGGAGGGGGGGGGGGGTGGATAATAGAAAGATTACGCTTATTTGTACCTTTGGGAATATGTGAAACTGAACAAACAATATTGAATCAAAAGCACCTTCATTCCATACAAATGTGACCTACCATAAAGCCTACCCCCACTTCACCCCACCCGACCTGGCTTGCCCACATCGACCTGTACCCCACACGCACAAGAACAGTGCCAAAGAGGGTGATAAGAATTAATTAAGAGGTACATTCCTAGATGATACTGTTGTTGATATTGTGAGTCGTCAAAATCTATGTCATTGATTGTTTAAAGTATTGTTAAAATCAATGTATAAAAAACTGTTAACTCACAAGAATGTCATCCATAATGTCAAAGTTAGTGTACATTTAGCAAGATTGAGGGGATAATTGGGGTAATACTAATTTCACCATCAAGAATGCGCAGTTGCGGTGTTGAGCTTTTAAGGCGAGACCATACTAGGAATTTTATAAGAAGTTCACATACACTAGTTGACAGATAGAAATAATCCCTTATGTAAAGTCTCAAATGGGTTATAGCAAGCAACATTTTCTTCTAATCCTAGTTTCTTTCAGGATTTCAAAGGCAAAGCTGAACACATCAGAACCATCAAAGGTAGATATATATAAATAAGTCAGGTTATCTATGAATAACAGCCAATTCAACTTTATATACTTAGCCATGATTTAGATTGAATATTCTCCCCAATTGCTACCTGTACCACAAAATCAAAAAAATAAATTGTGTATGAAATTAATTCAGATTTGAACAGACTGAGCTTAGACTAAGTAAAAAGTTAATATCAAGTAAGTTTTGTTTCAAATTATGTTAAGACAAGTTATTTTTTGTTACTTATAAGTGAAAAACATCAAGTATATCTTCCATTACTATCAAAATAAAGAAATTTGCATGTTCAATTTGATCAGTTAAATATTCAGTTATTTAAGAACTTCAATTATTTTATAAGTTGAATTTAAGCTTTAGCCTAACACGATATTAAACATGGACGTTAGTAAAATCTTGATATACTGAAGTTTAGAATTACAAGATATGGAAAAATGTACCTCATAGATGGTGGGATAATGAATCTCCTCTTATTCGAAATACAACATATTTGTCAGTAAAATTTTTTTAAAAAAATTCACTTCAATCTACCAAACGTGTCAATTTTTAAGCATGCTTGAAAAGTATTCATAATTGGTTTGAATTATAGATAGGTAAAAAAAAAAAATTGGATTGCTGGAAATGTTTAAAATTTAATATTAGATGTTAAACAAGTCAACGTAAAGCCCGTCTAGCTCAGTCGGTAGAGCGCAAGGCTCTTAACCTTGTGGTCGTGGGTTCGAGCCCCACGGTGGGCGTGTCTGCTTATTTTGCCTTTTCTGCCTTTTTTGGAACCTTTTCCAGTCCCTAAACCTGTACCGATTTACCCGTTTCAATTTCATTCCACAGTTTTTTGTCCCCTATTATTTCAACTTTCACCATTCACCCATATGAAATTTACGAATATTTTCTTGTACGGCGAGAACAATATAAAGCAATTTAATGGCAGTTCAATCAAATGTATTAAGGGTCATTTAACATGACTTTGAAAAGTCAAAATAAGTTTTTTTAGACTTTAAAGTTGGTTTTGGTCTCCTTTGATTAATTTTGCAAAATTGATTTCACTAAGTAGAAGAGTTTCGATTTCCTTTAAAAGCACTTTCGAATAGGAAGTTCTTTTAACAGTTAGTTTCCAAACAAAATTTAAGATAATTTCCTCCAAAAAACTCTTCCACAAGAAGCCAAAACAAAAATTATGTTAAACGTGCCCGAAAATATTTGGACGTCTTATTCGACATTTGCGTTCCAAGCTCGACAAGTCCTAGATTTCTCACATTCCAGGCAAATTGTGTTAACCAAACTTAAACCTCTAACTAGTTCCAAACTNTTTAATGGCAGTTCAATCAAATGTATTAAGGGTCATTTAACATGACTTTGAAAAGTCAAAATAAGTTTTTTTGAGACTTTAAAGTTGGTTTTGGTCACGTTTGATTAATTTTGCAAAATTGATTTCACTAAGTAGAAGAGTTTCGATTTCCTTTAAAAGCACTTTCGAATAGGAAGTTCTTTTAACAGTTAGTTTCCAAACAAAATTTAAGATAATTTCCTCCAAAAAACTCTTCCACAAGAAGCCAAAACAAAAATTATGTTAAACGTGCCCGAAAATATTTGGACGTCTTATTCGACAATTGCTTTCCAAGCTCGACAAGTCCTAGATTTCTCACATTCCAGGCAATTTGTGTTAACCAATCTTAAACCTCTAACTAGTTCCAATCTAGACAAGTCCTAGATTTCTCACATTCGAGGCAAATTGTGTTAACCAAACTTAAACCTCTGAACTACGCAAACCCCTTTTTTTTTTGGTGTATAGACAAGCTTTTCGACTGTTAATTTTAAGCCACCCAAGCAAGAGTAAAATCTGGAAAATCGAAACCTCTATTAGAATTCATGTTCCAAGATTTGACAAAGTTACATGGTGGCAAATTATTAAAGGTCGACCCGGTTCAAGCTAGTGACATTGCAATAACATGACGCTGTCATGTAATCAAATCTAATCCTAAGCACTCGAATGTGAAGAAAATACCATGCCAAACTAGATATAAAAACTTCTAAAAGAAAATGAAATAGTACTTGTAATGGTCATGTATTCAAGAGAAAGCGCTCTTCCGACCACATCCTCGTACAACACAATTCTTGTTAGAAACGACTGAAGGTTAAGCTTGTGAGATGTGTTGGGTTCAAAAAAACTCTGAAGTTATCACATGACACACTGCCATCTGGAAAGACACTTTCTTCAGCCATGGTTCACTGCAGCGGAATCGTAAATTTTCTCACGAGGGATGATGCGGAGGGGCTGCCCACAGCTTTACTTTCTTGTCAACGCTGGCCGTGGCTAAAATCAACGATTGCCTATTTTCTGTTCAAAGAACATGTGAATCAGAAGCAATTTTAAAGGTAGGTAGATACTACACAGAGGTATACATATGGAGTACAGGTAGCCAAGTGTTGAATTTGTTAAGAGACTAATTTTTCTGATGGTTGCTTGGAACCTGCATTTGCCTGTTTCATTCAGCAAGGAACAAATGCCATCGCACCCCAACCACATAAAGAGACAAAAACAACAGAATTTTGAAAGTGGTCTGGGGAGCAGCCTGCGGCCCAAGAAATTAAATGAAGATACTAGAGTAAATAAATAAGGAAACAGTATTGCTATATGCAGAAGCAAAAGTCAGGAAATGGTACTCATGAAATTCAAAAGAAATTTACCTATTGGAACGGTAGTAGGTGCCCATGCCAAGTCGGTAATCTCACCTGCATGATACATTGCTTGCATTATATATTTGCAGAAGAATTTCACAAAATCATAATCTGAACGTCAATGCTGAAGAACCCAAAATCGACAGTCAGAAACTAAATTTTGATTGTATAATGACAATGTTGGACAAGATTAGCCCATAACTGTTATAAGTCATTTGTCTTATATGCTAAAACAGACAGAACAGATTTATTTTATAAAATTCCAAGAAAATAGCAAAAGCAAAGAGGTGTGCAGTATAATATTTTTAGGCAGCCTTGGGTAACAAAATCTGAGGCAAACCATTTTGCGCATCATGACAAATAGTTGGTCTGCACTCAGTCCGCTCAAGGAGCAAAACCTCCATTTTCTATAACAAATATTCATATATAGAAACTGAACCTTTTATAACCAGCATAAAGATGATTTCAGAAGTGAAATAAATCTGACAAATACAAAACCAAAACTTTTTTTTTCCCTTTTCTTTATTGGAACTGGAAAATGAGCTAAGATAGAACCATCAAAACTAGTTCATTTGCAATCCAACACATACCAGGAGGAGACTACTATTCGGAATTCTGATGCTTCAAAAGGGGCAGGATATGATAACTAGTGATGCATCTACATATTTTACAACACTAATGGTACAATGTACACTGCTACCCGGATTTCTGGATGAAACTCATCCACAGACCAAACACAAAAATAAATACAACTCCACATAGCATCATGTTATTAAGTAGATTCCGAATTCTACTACAGCGTGCCATATAGTGACATGCCATGAAGATAGTAAAGCTTTTGTACAGTGAAGAATCAATAGTCACCAGAATTTCATTTCTTCATTTAAAGATATAAAATGGTAATGGTTGAAGTAGTTGTTATCAGGGATGACTAAGTTAACCATGAAGTTCCGGATTGATAACTTCAATAAAAATAAAGAATCCAGATGTGGCCCAAAAGGAATATAAACACAAAGAAGAAAAAAGAAAGCTCAGAACTCTTGAAAATAGGCTTACCATCGTGGGCCTTGTCAACCGTGTCCAAAACCTGACCCGTCTCAGCACATAACCACTGCAGTGTTGAACCATGAGTTGCTGCCAATATCTTTCCATCGGGGGAAAGACAGAGACGATCATAGTGTAAAGTCGTGCCATTTGAATCAGAAAGTGGAATGGGCAACACCTTCAAAGTCTTTGAGTCCTCATCTAGATGATATCGAACTTCAAGAAATGGATAAAGAAGATTACCACAATGTATAATGTAATAACTCTAGTCTTCATAGAAAGCAGAAAAAAAAATAAAAAAAATAAGGATGACACAATTGACTTCTAAAGGACATCTCTTTCTCAGTGACCACAAAGATAACTAATCATAAGTATCAAGGAATAAATTGGCCAGGTCATTCTTCCAGTGTGTTTTTATGTCGTTTCTATTATTTCTTGATACACTATTAAATCTTGACATTTAACAGAGACAAATTTACAGGCTTGTAACATTGGGCATTTTGGAAATGCTCTTCACGAGGCAAACTATAATAAATTCCTAATGAGAAAATTACGGCCGGAGTCCCCAACTTCTGGAAATGTAAAAAGCACGTCTCCAGCCCTCAATTTGTAGCAAGTGGTCGGTCCTCAGTATTTTATTTTTGTGGCACATAGGTTTCATATACGCAGTTCTAATCCATTTGGATGTTAAAATGTCAAATCATTAGACCCTCACTTTGAATCAATAATAAGCAAAGGAAAAGAGGAAAATAACCAAAGAATTAAAAAATGCCACAACTTGGCAGAGATGGGGCAAAACCAGAGCAGGGGTAGCAGGGACAGCAGTTGGGAGTGGATGTAGGGTTTGCTTTCTTTTTTCCTTTCCTTTCCTTCTCCTTTTTCCTTTTTCCTTTTTCCTTTTTCATCCTTTTTTCCTTTTTGATTTATTTCTCATTAAAATTAAATCTTTACTTATTTTACCCTTAAGAAGTGAGTCGTGCAACGCTCACGTGACACTTTAATGTCCAAATGGACGGAAACCGTCTAGTCGGGACCCACTTGCTACATTTTACATAGGTTGGGGACCCCTAGTAATTTTCCCGGTTCCAACTTAGAACAATTCTCCATTTCAATAACTTAATAACAGTATAGAAGAGAGCTACTCATACCATTGATATTCCATATTCTTATCGAACCATCCTTGGACACAGTGATGATTTGTTCCGAATTTGGAGAAAAGCACAGCCAAGTCACCGCACTCTGAACATCAGAAATACCAAATAAACAAAAGAGAAAAATTCAGCAGTGCGCACATGTTCAAGGCTTTGGGCTATGAAAGTGACAGACAGGATTAATTGAAAAAATGACATCGTGAAGCAAGAGTTATCCAACTAAATTAAGACATCGTAGTTCAAAATGCGCTATATGGAAGCTTGAATTAGGATCTAAGGCAGAGCTTACAAAATCTATTCCAATCCAACACAAAATTTCAGAACAATTTCCTTGAATACCGAATATTTTTTCCACTTCCATTGTTAGTTAATTGTTGGTATCAAGGCAGAGATTACAAGTCTATTCCAGTCCAACAAAACTTCAGTTCTTATAAGATGCTTCCAACAATTTCCTTGAATACCAAGTATTTTTCCACTTCGATTGTTAGTTGAATGTTGGTTAACACTTAAGCTTTGGTAAATTGTCTGTATTGAAGTTGAGATTATAAACCGAAACCCCAAAGTGATGTTCATGGAATTTCCAAAAAGTAGATAAACGGGTCATGAATCCCCAATATGCTTGGAGGTCTAAGGACGGAAGAGACGACCTTAGCTAAAATATGTTACTTTGCATTATTCCACAACATGGCTACCATCACATTCACGTTTAAACTATAAGTCTAACACAAGTTAGAATAGGAAAGAAGGTGATCATGGTAAGTCACGAAGCATGAGCGTACTCAACCTTGTGTCCTTTGAGCTGCATGACTCTCACAATCTCCTTCACTGAGCCATCTTTTGAATAGACAATTTCCCAAACCTGTCAAATTAAATATCATAAAAGTAAATGGAAGTATATTGATTCGTAACCAGATGCTAAGCTAACTTACAACAACAATGTTCAGTGTTTAAAAAGGCAAAATTGAGTATTGAGGTGTTTTTCCTTCAGTAAACCAGGAAAAAATAGTCAAAAAAATACAAGAATATAAAAATAAGCATGCAAGTTAATAAACCAACAGTAATATTCCAAAAACAATAGATTAACTTAAAGTATCATTGCGAACAAGTACAAAATACATTAATTTTTTTTTTTTTGAAAGGTAATCGAACAATAATATACAGGTAGTGTATCATTACATTAAACCAGAAGGAAACAACATAAAATTAGGTAGCCCATCTATAAGACTAGACAAAATACATTAATAAAAACATGAAGTTGCAACTCAAACAAAAAAGATAAATCGCCTATATAATCACTCATCACTACTACTGAGACCATGTATAGAATCACTGGTCTCTGCCAAAGTGATGTCTGGATCTGGAGGGAAGTCGCTGTCGGGGGAGTGATGAAGTTCTAGGGCTGCAGTGTTGTTTTAGAATGCGTGTTGTATGTTTATATTATTTGTGTATTTGAAATTATAAAGTAAATTATATATGGCATATTAATATATATAATCAAAGAAACCGACTAGGTTTTATTAACATATAATGGGTACGATAATTTATGGCTAATAATCAATGAAAAGGTAAATTTTATTAAAATATAATAGATTTCAAAAGCTATCTAAATATATAAAGATTTCCAATGAAATCCACCAATGAAATATGAGAACTTTATGAGAAAGTGGTACAGAAGGTAATTTAAGAGAGGCACATGTCTTAATCACTAAAGGCGTAAGCTTCATTCTAGGCCAAAAAATTCCGCCTTAGTACTATTTACTGGCACCTCATATCGAGGCACCTTTTAAACCATGACACATTTATTTAGATAGAATACCCAAAAACAAAAACAACTTCTCAAAATAGCTCCTTCAAATTTGAGAGGATGAACAAATTGTCTTCCAATGAAGGCTAGATTATTTTCCAAGCAAATGCCAAAATATGTTATGGAGAAAATTGAGGTTATAACTCTTATTCTCATACCACTCATTCAAGCATTTATGAGTCAATTATGAGATGTGGGAAGAATATATAATTCCTTGTGAAAAGAAATAGCCCTAACAAATAAAATGGATTGGATGGCAAATGTGCTTGCACAGCCCAATAAACATAAACCATTCAAGTTCATCCTTACAAGATTACTTTGCTCCTTATAAGCTCCGCCAATGTTCAAACGGAACAAAATTAGCCACATAAACAATTTTGAATGTCAAACATTCATGTTTGTAATGCCCTTTAACCCCCCTAATTCTCCGCCTACAAGTTTCCCACACCTATTTGTGGACTTCTGACACAGGTCCTTTCACATTCCCATCTATGCATCTCAATTACACAATTCCAATTATGACGTGAAAATGATGGTTTGATTTCAGATCTTAACTTCTCATGTGTCTTTATAAATAAACAAGGTTTTCGGAGTTTTAGGACGTCTTCTTTCTTTCCTTTCTTCACTTGGGTTGAATTTCCTTCTCTACTTTCTTCTGTAAAAGATGCCTACTGAGTGATCTTGAGTTTCAGCATCTGGGTCATACCAGGCTTCCTACATCTCAAAGCATGTGTAGAAGAGGTACACCAAAATGGATCATCTTTGTGCGTCTAGAGGCACTAAACATTCAGGCCATGAAGCACAAGAGCATCAGCAGTTTGGACAAGGAGAGGACCCACGAAGCCAAGTTCACCACCTAACTTATTTAAATATTTATATTGCACAGGACCAGTACAAATGATTGCATAATTTCAAAAAAGAGTAAAGACTTTCTCCAGAACTAAAGATAAATTCCAGGTTCCCAATGAAATGGAAATCTCAAAAGTATCAAGTCCATCGTGTCTCAATTTGAGCAATTTGTCCCCATGAAATTGAGCTCTATAAGTCTTTCTATCCAAAAAGATACTGTAAATCTTTACTAACCACATGTTTTAAATTCCCGTGATGGAGAATTATACACCAGAAAGAAAACATGAAATATTAAAAACAAAAGACCAAAGAGTGAGTTACAAGAACGATTTCACGTCTCCTCTATTGTCCTAAACAGAAGCTTGTGTAACTGATTTACAGATTTCTTTAAAAGAACAAAATCAATAGAGAAAGTGAAACATCACAGCACACAGAAGTACGCAGGCACGCCCACTTACGTAGTAATTTACAACTTACAACCAAATTCAAAGCCTTTAATGTGGGATTATAAATGGACCCAGAATATAATGCACCTCTCGTCTAAATTAAGTGAACATGGGGGGGAGGGAATTTTGACCTTCACATCAGCAGTAAAAGCAGCGGCAGCAATAAAACGCCCATTTGGAGATATGGTGGCCATTGTGTTTTTGAGCTGATTTGTATCTACATTACCCAATATCTTTCCAGTTTTTCCATGCCAAAGTATAATGTCAGTACCTGAAGAGTAACAGAAAATTCAAGAGAAAAGAAAAGTTAATGTGTTTGAATCTTTTCTTTTCCTTAGAACAAAAGGAGGATGTGAAAAACTGAGCTAGTTCTGCCATCATACAATTGACACATTATTAATCAGGTAATATAGGGAAATACCAAGACCGCTACTACACATAGCAACCATTACTGACTTAACATACTGATTTTTATTCAGCACCTTTTAATTGTTTACTATGTTTGCAGTTAAAGGACGTTCGAAGGATGGGAATCCACCATAAACCAGAAACTTAACTAGGTTTGTCAGAAATAAGTGCCAAGCAGCTAATTAACTAAAACACATGTTATTGACCATGGACATCAATAGAACTGAAAGATGTTGATTCCAGCCATAGATCTACAATCAATAGATTCAAAAATTTTAGATAAAGAAAACATAGTAAATGATAAAGTAGAAAACAGTTTTTAAAAAAAGAGTAAAATTAATGAATGGATGGATTGGTGAATCTACAAAGAACAAAGGCACCTATTGTCATTACTTTTGTATGATATGATCATTGCTGATCATTAAGCCCCTGTTTGATGGCCTTTAAAAACCCAAAACAAAGTTTTGAATAGTAAATTTTTGGAACGTATGTGGCTAAAAAGTAAAGAAAAGTTTTGGGTGTATGTGCAAAATATTATATTGTGTGATTGCGTGGTTGAAAATGAATACGTAGAAAATAGAGTTTTTGGATAATGGTTGTCAAACAGGGGCAAACTTAATTATGTTCAGCTGGAAAAGTAAAATTTTCATAGGATCAAAAAGAAGAAAGAAAATTAAGAAAATGCTGAACCATAAAGACCTTTTTTTTACTGAACCATAAGAGGTTACTATAGACATATTGACCAAGAAATATACACTCTACTCAATACGAATTCATATTGAGCATAATAAAAACTTCTTAATTTCTCTATGGAAAAATGAAAGTAACCAACAAGATTGGAAATATTTCACTAAACAGATGATTCTTGAAGAAATCTTCAAATTATTTGATATAACAAGACAAAAGAAAGATACCAAAAAATACCTTCAGAACATGAAGCAATAATTGTGCTTCCATCAGCAGTGCCATAAGTTGCCTTAGTTCCCACCAAAGTGAGGATGGCCCTCTTATCGTGAACTTTATGGTGTTGCCATTTAATTTCAGGGAGTGGAAGCTTAGCCTGCTGCTTCTGTTCACCAGTTGTCTTGAGATTTTCCTCCCCATACAAATATAAAGATGCACCAGTAAGTGTCTGGGAAGCCACTACCACAGATGATGCGTTATCGGCAAATACCACTGCTTTAGGATGACCACCAGCAGGCACATTAATTCTCAGAAACCTAGGTAAATTGGGAAAGATTTAATCAATGGCAATGATAAAGATACATCTATAATAGTTATGCGGAGATAAGTAGGTTAGTAGAGATCCATACTTGAAACTTTTACTTGAGACATCATCCAACCTGAAAATCCTGACAATACCATCTCCACAAGCTGTACCCACAAACAATATGTTACGTACAACATAAGGACATTGCTTTAATGTCAGAACCTACGATGCCAAATGCCGGATAAGACAGAACTAGAAGAAAGAGAAAGCTATAAGACCTACATTCTCATGTAATTTACTATTTTTTACGTCTTCCAAATTCATTTGATTGGATTAGCATGTATAAAGATACAGACATACAGCAGAAAAAGGTGCCAAAGCATAAAATGTATTATAATTCTAATTCCTATACATTGTTTGAAAGGAAATCTAGTCTAGAATAGAAATTGTCGACAGAGAACACTGTATGTCAAACCACTCGGGAGGAAAGATCCACACAAGTGTCATATCAAGTATGCAAGTAAGTAGTAGAATATAGTCTTAACAACATCCAGCAAGCCATAGAAGCTCCGATGTATGGATGTTCCATGCAATTAGAAGGCCAACATAAAGGAGGAAATCCACGCAAGTGTCATATAAAGCAAGCAATTAGTAGAATATAACCTTAACACCATCCATCAAATCATAAATGCTCCCTGCAGTCACAAGGCAGGCCAACACAAGAATATGCATAAGAAACAACTGATCACTCATGTTCCGGGCTAAATTTACCATACTGTCAAACCCCGAAAAGGTCATCTTGAACCAATATCAATATAAAGGAGCACCAGCTAGAGCGGGCAAATTTCTCATTTAAAATTTACTGGTGGCAACAAAATACACATTTCAATAAAACTAGCTCTGTTATTTCCCAAAATGCATCATATTTGAACAAAAATCTCTTTTTCACCAAAACAGGGTTTCACTATAAGCTACAGTTTTAACAATCAGGCAATCCACGAATAACACAAGTTGTTCACACAATTAAACCAAAAGTTATACCACCTAGACGAAACCCAGGTACAGAATCCTCCTAATCATGCACCAAACTGTGAATTACAATTCTTTGACATTAACCGAAACAAAATGGGATTAAAACTAGGCTATTTACCAGTTGCTAAACTACGCCCATCTGGAGAAAAACATAGGCCTGTAACAGCATCCCCATGCCCTTTCAACGTATTCAAATCCAACGGGTGATGCTTCTTGGCCACATCCTATATTCCACATTACACCCAAAAATGTTAAAACAAATGTTATACAACCCACTAAACACACGCATGTAATTATATATACACATCTATCAACAAAATGAGAATAATTTTATTACTTTATCGGCAGTGTGCGAGTGAGAGTGAGATTTGGGCTGCGATTTTTTGGTGGTTGAAGGCTTTGAAGAAGGTTTCGGATTGGAATTAAGCGACTCGGGTCGGGCAATTGATTCGATTTCAGATTTACGCTTCCGGAAATAGCTTCCGAATACTATAAATGCGATCAAAGCTCCAATAATCACGGAAAGTAGTATAATTGGAAGAGCCGCATCCATTTTCGCTCGATTGATTTGAGGTTTTTCAGTCGTTTATGAGTTTTCAGATTGTAACTTTGACGATCGGATTAGTCGATTAGAATCACTGAGAATTAAGGGTTCAGTGTATGGGATTACAACGGTAAGGGTCGGTCCTCTCTTGCTGTGTTACGTTCTCTCCAATTTTGTCCAATTTCAACTGAAGTCGCGTTGTGATCTTCCACAGTGCCTTTATGTTTAGGTGAAGCTCTCTCTCTCTCCCTCCTTTTTAAAAATAAAAATAAAATTAAAACGAGACAGGTGTACATGGGTGTTAAATGCAGGGAGCCGGTGCTCGACTCGCTCAACAAAAGTCCGACTTGCCTCATCAGCTTGCCATATTTTTTCTTGCTTTTTTGTTGTGTATAAATTTTTATATTTGTCAAACCGGTTAGCACATGAATCAAAGAGCTTGCTACCAAGCTAGCTCGCTCGGCAAGCAGTTCACACGATCAAATTGTTGCTCCGCTCGTGTAGCGAAATGAGTTGACGAATAGTTTGCCCCCTCTCAATGCCCCTACGTGTGTATATGATTCATTTGATCGATTATGTCAGTAAGTACTTTTGGTCTTATTCTATTATTTTCCCTTTTTGTAAAGAATCTATTTTGCACTAAATAAAAATGTTCACCTCGAGGCTTAGCAATAAAAATAAGACGTCACAGTTGGTCGTTCACAAATTAAGCAATGCGAGCTCACATCTCACGAGTGGTGATGAATTTTCGATACGTGCTGTGTGTGATTCTAAGATTCTAGTGACGCGTCTTAACAAGAAAGTGGACCTTGGTTGCCACTTTTTTATTGGATCCTTCATCCAAGACACAACTTTTTGTACTGTTATAATTGAGTGAAATATACAATAACATGATGGAGATTGAAATGCCCTAATTTCTCGCCTTAATGAAGAAGCTGGCAAATATTATTGGCATACAACAATAACATCCTAAAATTGTTTAATAACATCCTGCGAGAAAGATAGCAATTGCTTCATTTTGTGTTAAAAAAAATGTATTTTATTTACGTGTAAAATATTTTATTATGTAAATGTATAGTTGAAAATGAGTATGAAAAATAATTTTTGAACTTCACCAAATTCAATTTTTTATTTTTATAATTTCCTACATGTATTACATAAGTCAGTGATTATTGGGACAATTAACTCTAAAATATAATACAAGTTATAAAAACATAGAATATTATATAAATTAATAAATTATTCATTTATCGACAAATTAATAATCCATCTAAAATAATATTTTTTTCTCGATCCTAACATTATTATTTATAGAGGATTTACAATATATTGGTGTTGTAGTAATCATTGATATTAAATTGCATTATTCTTTTGTAGCTGTCTCGTTTTTAATGGCATTGTGATGATTTTAACGTATTGAACTACAATGAAGGCAGAAGGGGCTTACGTCTATCTAAATACTAGTGATTAATAGTCCTATCGTTTTTAGAATTGAATAATGTTATTTATCACAAATTTACGTGGTAGTGTTTCCTTGATTGATTATGAGGTATGTTAAAATTGATCACATGACATTGAATCAATGACTTCACTCATTGTCACAGAATTATAGATAGCAATATTCTTAAAATTTACATAAACGCGTCAAACCAAAAAAATGCATACCTTTTTATTTAAAGATAGTAAAATTGATTTTACACCCACAATGGACACGGATTATGTTGTCCATCTATCGATGTAGAGTTGTCATGTCAACCGGTCAAACACCTTTTTATTTGATTTGTCAAAAAAAGCGGCTTGACCAACCACGTCAATGGTGTGCAAGTTTATCCTGTCCACTGTGGACATGAGATCATATCCGTTAATTTCACATATCATTTAACATATCATTTAGAGTCACATAAACTGGGGTTACAACCCCACTAGGGGTGAATAACATTGCTCTAATGATAAATTGATCTTTTTCTTATTTTTCTAATTAAAGAAATATTGTTTCCTTTCCCTTTTATTTGCACAAATAACTAGAAAGTGTCTTTTCAATAGCTCTAGTCTAGTTTCTTACTTCTTTATATATATACTAGTCAGATGCACGTGCTACCGGCGTAATTGACTACTTAATAACGTGGTTGTAAAAGTTTAATGAAACAAACATCAATGAAGCACCGGAAGACAAATTTCATCATCCATGTACAAGTGAAACGGTATTGTAGTTAAAACCTTATTTTTTTTTTTTTTAATCAAAAGGTATCATGTTTATGATGCGTGCAAACAGAGAAAATCATGGAATACTTTCGGAAGATATTGCTTCATGAAATAAAGTTCGTGGCATATGGCATGAATGTTTATTATGCAATATAACAATTGGGCATTCAAACGTGTAAATTAATAGATCGTTTTGTCAAATAAGCCATCTCAATTCAAAAGCATATAAATAGCAAAATTTGTATGACAACTATGCTACAAGACTTGAGCCCATTAGTGAATGTATACTTGCAACCTCGGGCAATTGATGTAATAGACAATAAGGCAAAAAGATATCGAATTTAATTGTTCCATGTTTATGAAGATATCTCAAGGTTGCTGCCGTTTGGAAATGTTTGCTAAGAAGGTATCAATTGGACAACATGATCACTAACACAAAGAAGTCACTTCATTTCCCTTCTCTGCATCAGTTTCTTTTCAGTTGGTAAAGGTTCCAATCTTCAAATGTGGCCAAAAATTGTAGTTAATAAAACCAATAAAGCACATGTTGCACACACTGATCATAATTGAATTCATTCCAATTTCAAATTAAGCAAACACGTTAATTAATCGATATTAATTTAGAGTTTTAAGTAATACTAGTTGGTGACTCGTGTATTGCACGAGTTCTGTAATTATTGTGTTTTTATTAGCGTAGAAATGAAAGTAAAAGGAAGAGTAAATGATATTTAGCGATAATGTAAAACTCATAGGTATGGAACGTGTTTGGATTAAAGATCACTATGCAAAAAAAACAAAATGATAGAAGAGAATCTATTTATGGGAAACAACATTAAATTTAAACATTAGGCACATGAAGTTCGGATAAAGAAAAAATAAATTATAAGTTAATATCATCATGGATCATCTCATAAGTCACTCACTCATGCAAGCACATGGACATTTATTCTTAAACAAAAAGAAGATAGCATCAAAATTTATTTCAATCAAATATCATGTAGAGTACAGACTCTAGAATAGAATGACTTAGAAGGGCTTCAAAGCAACCTCAAACTTCCCCATTCTGCAGTTACCAATAATAAGAGCAGAATAAGTAGCAGAATCAGGAACAAAAAAAGAAACAATCATCCTACATATAAACTCCATTGCTTTACTGATTGCTGCATTCTCACAAAGGAATTTGATAAAGACATTGCAAGTTGGAGTATCAGTTATATTCCTCTCAAACATTCTATAAAACATAATGTTTGCCATAGAAAAATGACCAGTAGCACAAAAGGGTTCAAGAAGTGTATTGTATGGAGAAGTGTCAATTACATTTTTCTCCTCCAAAAACATAATAGCTTCTGTAAATTTATTTAATTTACATAAACCGTTTACTATATCCAAAAAATAGATCAAGCTAAAAATAGATCAAATTTGCATTAAATGAGATTTTCAGCAGTTCATTGACTTTTACGTCCACACTTGATCGTACCTACAAAAGTAGTTTTAAGAATCATGTATGACAAGTTAACACATACATAAAAAAACTTCANTAGTTCATAGTATCGATATCTGGAAGAATTCCTGATTTCACCATTTCTTTATAGACAAACAACACATCCTTAAATTCTTTCTTTTCCTCCAAAAGTGCACCCATTATGGTATTAAATACACTTATAGAGGGCTTAAAACTGCTTAAATTCATAAAATAGAGAACCCTTAAAGTTTCATTGAGCCTGTGATTTTTAATTAATGAATCTATCAATGCCAAGAGAGATTCTCCGAAACACGAGCATTTATCATTTATCATCTCAGTACAAAACCCCTCCATTTCTTTTACATTTACATAATTATGTCTCTAAAGTCAGATAATTTAGCCCCTGTTTGTCTACCATTTTCGCAAAAATTATTTTCTACAATAAACAATCTCCACCACATATTTACCCAATAAAATATTTTACACATAAATCAATAAAGTTACTTTAAATTTCAACCACACATTCTCCAAAAAATACTATTCATTACACAATTTTCCTCCCCATAATGGTAGACAAACAAGTTGTTAATATTCAAACATTCAAAGTTGTTTTAGAAATACTTTGACGTAGATAATATTATTTCAAGAAACACCAGCTCGATAGCCTGTAACACAAGTATGATTTGAATTAATTTTTTTTTTTAGACTATTCAGGTAACCACTACATGGAACATCACAATATAAACATAGTACTAACCTGCAATACACAAGAACATGTAATACTTGATTAATCCAGTCACGAGCTTATGCAAAAAACTACCAGAAGGAGACGTGCTCTCGATCAACCTTGTGTCAGTCAGTTTCAGAAATAGTGACCAGAAAACATACCGTAAGGAAATGGGGAATGCATACCCAATTGATGAATAATTTGAGGGAAAATATCTTACAATTCTAAAACAGCATAAAAAGAAATATCAGTACGCATTTTAGAGAATTGGAAATAAATGCCACAGAACGTGAGGATGTTCGTTATATTTGGAAAAAAACACCTAAAAGAGAGAAGAATAATTCAAGAAGCAACTCAAGTACGCAGTTACAAAATCAGTAAAAAAAAATAAAAAGAGTTAATCCAAGTAGCAACTCAAGTACTCCATTACAAAATTAGTAAAGCCCCTTGTACGATCACGAGAGAAAGAGAACAATTAGGATCAAGGGGTAGAAAAAATGAGTACCCAACAGTTGAAGCCTCACAAATATGTCTCAGTTGGCTCAAATTTCCTAAGAAAAAACCAAAGATCTCGGGCAAAAGAGAAAATTAAAATCAAGCAATCAATTAAGATTCAAT